TTCGAATGTTCGAAGGAAATCACCAGCCCTATTATGAACACATAATCTCTTTATAGGAAAAAATTAATAATTTTTTTATATTTCACAAATTTAAGTATTAAATCAAGTAAAGTGTTAAAAATCTAAAATGTATGTATACACGATATTCATATATAGTGACTTTTTGTTATGTGTGTGTCGCAGCCGTTCATTCCTGATTCAGAAAAAAGGTTTATTTTGATTGTACGTTACGGAAGTTTCATTCTCTGAAATAGTAATAAGAGTAAACATTGTCTATAAGAGTTTCACTATTTCAATGGAGATATCTAATAATCAGAGCTTTCTGGTTCATAATAATAATCGTATGGCATGCGGCAATGGATATTGTAACGTTGCGTGTGATTATTTCATTTTGTGAAATATCTTTCGGCATTAAATTGTACGAGATTGCCTACGCACGATTGTAAATCAAATGTTTCAATATTTGGAGGCTTCACAAAATCACTCTTTCCTTTCGAATCCTGATCTCGTTAATGTATGAATACTGGAATTACCACTATCACTGCTAAACGCGTTTAGAATTAGCTACGATTACATACCATTAACCCAGTTTCTAAACTGGTCATCAAACGAGTCTCGTTGTGTACGAAGGAAGATGTTACAAAGTGTGGAAAGTCTTCGTTCTTAATGCACTTGCACCTCTTTTTATCCAGAACACGCTAACGCGTAACTATACTGTTTGCTTATGTTTAATGGCAGTTAAATTATCCGTCGTACTAAATAGATATACGCAGAATGACGCAAGTCGATAATGCGATACAACGCATATCCAATCCACTCTAATTTCGTAACGTTACAGTCGAATATTATTTTCCGCTGTTGGCGAAATGGTGCAGCGGGCGGTCCGCAAAAATTAAGTTTCACCACTTTTATGCTCGGAACTGGTGAAACGAAACGACTTATCCCATCCCCGCGATAATTATCTCGATAAACGCTGCGCAAAGTTTTACCGTTTTACTCGCTTATTTCCTTTCTATATCCAAGAAATGATATATTACATAATGTCGAGCATACATTTTTGCGACCGCACCTAGGAAAATATCTGTCGGTTGCAGATAAGAATAATCAATAAAAACGTACAACGCATAATGTTTCACCAATACTTGTCCCAATGCTCTTATTATTATTTTTCTTTTCACGAGGATTCACGCCAGTTTCTTGAGACCAACAGCAGCTTGTTCTGAATCAAATGAAAGATATATTTAATTGAGGCGAAAGACATTACATTAGTGACTCGCGGATTTGAGTCAACGACACGACACACGATACGCGCTTTTCTCTTAAGAAGCGAGTGCCAGTTTTACTCGATATCATCGGATACAGGATAGTGAAAGATGTCGACGGACGACAGGAACAACCGGTGTAAATGATATTGCCGTGTGTTGTCGTCGCCCGTGTCGACTACCCCGTTTTCGAGGCCGCGGTATTGCTGTATATATATAGCTGCAGGAATTGACGAGATAAAACAAGATTTACAATGCAATGACGGATTTAGAGCTCTAGAAATCCTACCGAAGCAATATTTCAAGCCTTTCTTACAAAAGCAGTGGAGTTATTGGAACAATATAATCTGCATTTAGCGAACAAAGAGTGTATATTTTTCTTATACAAATTATAATTTATTTTCATGAATACTTAATAATAGGGAAAATCTTTTGTAAGCTACGATGCAAGATAGAAGGAATAAGTGAAAAACGGAAATTATTGTTATTATTCCCGATGATTTTAACCAGTGGCTAAAGAATCGTTATAATTAAAAAAATGCCACTTGATTTATGATTTTCGATACATCAGATCTGACTTGCGAATTAGCGTTTCTTCTTCATTGCCATTACTCCGCTGCTATAACCTTCCGAATCGATTTGACTCTTTGGCAAGGGAAACATCGCGCCGCAATTACTATACGGGCCCCCATAATACTCGAGCAGGAATTCAGGGGCCAATTATCGCGCCGCAGGTGTAGTGCCGGCCGCGACGCGACGAAAAGTGAAAACGACTCGGCGGTTCGTGTTTCGCGTAACGAGGATTAGCGATAACGCTGCGGGTCGCCACGTAACTCCCGATCATCGGCCGCGGAGAACAGAAGAGAAAGAGAGGGCGTCCGGCTCTTGCATAAATCTGAATCGCAATTAAAGGAGCGCGAGAACCTTTTTACAAGCGACGCATTCCTGTTGACTTTTGTGGATGCTAACGAAAAAAAAATCGCATTTATCGTCAACTTAATTTCGTATCGGACTTATGAATTGCCGTCGCGCGGCGTGCTGCGCGAGGCTCCGCGATTTCGAAACTCTCGTTATACGGCGAAGCGTGCAAAATTTGCGCAATTAATGAAAATGTCGCGCAAGATACATATCGTTTGGATGTCGACAATAAATATGAGATCACTGTCAGGGTTCGTTATTAATTTATCGTTGAGGCGTATATTCGTGGCGCCGCACCTCGTCATCTCCACCGCCGGCGCTGTGAAGAGCATGATCGAGCAGGCCAACGAACAGGCCAACACGCCCGTGGTGGCACACGGTAACCTTTTTTCTGACATTTCTGCCTCATAGGTTGGTTTATTCGAAAGGTTAAACCGTTGCGCTCTCGAATATCTAGCGCGCTCGCGGGAAGGAGAAAGAAAGTGCGCGGGGTAGGAGAAAGAGAGAAACGTCGGCAAACGGTTCTGGCGAACTCTCCTGCAGCCAGGGTAATCTCCTCTTCCTGTCGAAGGTCGGGCGCAAGTCAAATGCCCGTTCGCCGAACCGTGTCGTGGGTTCGGAGCATCTTGGCCGGAGTGCGTATCGGGTAGTTGGTCGACCGCTGGTGCGTTGCAGGTAGTCACCCAATCAGAGCGAGAAGGAAACAAAAGAAAGGTGAAAAGAGTTATCGCCCCGTGAGATCGAGCCTGCATCCTGTATCCCAACTGGAAAACCGGGCAGAACTTGGGCGATAATTATTAGCCGATTGTTTCGGAACTTCGTTCTCTCTTTTCTACTCCCCCGCCTTCGGCGTCTTGTGTTATAGGCGTCTGCAGGTGTCCCTCCCGCGTTCCTCGCGCGAATCATTTTAGATTCTCAATAGCCTCTCGCGCGTGCTACGTGGCCCGAAAAATCATGGATCGATGAATAAAGAGGTGCCGGGTCACAGAGCCGCGCTTCGCCATTATCATCGCTCCACCGTTGGCTCGCGAAACGAGTCTTGTTCTGCTTTTCATACAATTACAATTCGCGCCGCGCGAAATCGTCCTTGCCCGACTTCTCGCCTTTCAAGAATGCGTACGCCGTCGTACCCGTCGGAATTTAATAACGTATCCTCGCATACATCGATCGCGACTCACCGAGCGTGACTCTTCTATATTCTCGCGAAAGTGTATATATGGTTCGCGACCTTACCTTGCACATAAGAGTGGCACGGTTCTCTCCTTTACGAGAGACACCGATCTCTCGGCGGATTAACATACCGATCCTGCGCGAACTGATGGTTATATACAGCTCGACGAGGTAAATCTTATGCGTTCAGTATGCCTCCACGTTGGTCGGGAGGTACGGAGAGGATTGCTCGTAACGCGTCTCCGTGTCATTTAAGAGCCGCGCTGCACGTAATTCAGGGAAAGTCACACGCTCGTAAATCAGTCTGGGTATGGGTACCGTTAGATTTGCAATGATAATCTCATGGTAATGTATGCGATTCGCTCGAGCGAACGAACGAGAAAATAATTAATAACCCCGGGTAATCCGAGTTCGCCGAACTGTCAGTGGCGGATATTGCGATCCTTGGGGGTTTACGAGTTTGCGACACACAGCGGAGGAGCTTGCAAAAACGGTGTCTCTTTCGTTCGATATCTCGTTAACTCCTCTTCTCCTTTGATTTCCATAACGGTCATAGACAACGTTTTACAGCTCTGCTTTATGAGAACGTGGATGTGGCTATTAAATTTTCTAATGACATAATTCACGTCGCGATGGCGCTTGCGGTTATAAATGTTCTACATCAGGATTTTATACATGATTTGGATAACGCAAAGCGCAAATGGCTTGTAAACCGTAGTCGTATAGTAGAAATTATATTAGAAGTATAAATGTAATTTAAGCGTTATAAAATATCTCTTTTTGCGTTAAATACATATGGCGATTAACATGTTTGCGTATTGCTCTCTTTGATATAATACTTCGACGTACCGTTCTGCCAATTACATGTTTTGTTCAAAAGAAACGGTAATTATGGAAAATTATATGGAACCTATCTATGTCAAGGGAGCGAGACGAGCCAACAAGTCACAAATTATGTTGGCGATATACGAATAATTCTAGATTGTGCACGGTTGTCGTCGATTGATTCGCTCCGCGGGATTTTCAAGATCAGTTGCGTGGCGCTTCGGATTTCCGGACAATCTATCGGAGTCTCACATAAGCCGCACCGATCACGCAGAGTGAGGTGTACTTACAGTTACCTCTAATTCAATTGATCGATCGTGGGATAAGCGCGATGTACGGCGGGACATTGCGGGCACATGGGTTATAATGATGATGCTGTACCTGGCAACGGAGGCGGCTGTTTACCATTCAATTACTTTGCAATTACGGGATCGCGTGTGCCCGCCGTATCTTAAATTACGCGAGATGCCATTTCAGCAACAAAAGCTTTAACCCACTCGAGACCTTTAATAATTGAATAATCGCAGAATGAGCGGCACGGGAAAAAAAATCATGCGCTCGTGTCTCCAAAGACTATAACAACTTCTGATAGTAAAAATAAGCTTTGATGGGTACCATTAATAGCGATCGTTACCATTAATGGTCTCGAGAAATTAAAATAACGAGAAGTTTGATTTACCGTTATGCACAACCACGTGCTTGTGACTGGGTTAACTAATCGTGGCAGTTAATTATCAATAATAGTTGATCAAGAAAAGTAAATGTGACATATAATTGACAAAGAGTTGAGCGAATGTGAAGAGATTGTTATGCAATCAAACTTACCCTTGGTGAGAGTGCGGAGGTGCGGGTCTCGGCGGGGGCGGCAAGGACTTCCTACCAGACGTACTCTGCCGTGGTGCTAAAGGCGGTGGCGGTGAACTAGGAGAATCCGTGCTGTATTTCTCCAGCGGACATTGAGGTTGAGGTTTCTGCTTAGGTATGTCAACGTATTTCGGTGGCAGTGCGTAGTAACCGTGCATAGTCCTCTGCGTCACGTCGTTAGGACGTTGATGGTGATTAGGAACGTATTTCGGAGGTTCATGATATTTTTGCGGGCTTGACTCCGAGGGGAATAACTTCGAGCTAGCTTCGTAGCCCGTCTTCACCGGGCTACCGATGGAGAAACTGTGATTTCCGCTCTTCAGGTATTTGGACGGACTCTTCGCGAGCTCTGTCACCGGCAGATAATTCGGTCTCGACGATGGACTCGCCGTGGTATTTTTATCCGCGTTTTTAGGCACTTGAGGCTGCGGTCTCTGACCCGAAGAAGATTCTAATCTCTGGCCGGAATCGTTTCGCAACAAACCGGACGCGTCGACGCGCGTCCCGTCGACTCGCATCGATTCCTGCCGAATGATCCTCGGCTCCACCGGAACCTGCGGGGCGGGTCTTTGATTCCCGGAATCGCTGTATCTTTGCGATACAAGATCAGGCAGTTGCGCCGGAGGTCTGGTTGAAAAAGATCTCTCCTCGGATATTCTCCTCGTCGGCGCTATCCTCCCGTTCACCATAAGCTTCTGAGTAGAAGGATATCTCAAACTGGAACGTCCCGTGACTACCATCCTGTGCGTGGCGAAGCCGGCCGAGACTCCGTTCTCCAGTATCATTTCGGAATCCACGTGTTTCAGCGCCGTGGCGGATCTCACGAACTGATGCTGTTCCTGCACGCCTGTTTTCGTTGAATTCGGCGAGGATTTGCCGGTGGGCTTATCGTGATCTCTCTTGGCGTTGTGTTTCGATCTTTTCATGGAATGTCTTTCCGACTTATGTCGTTCGCATGACCTTTCACGACTGATCTTTGCCGTTTCCTCCGTCTGGTGGTGAATGTTGTTAGATTTACGCTCCGTGAAACAATCGTCGCTGAGCTCGGGTGGTGGGGGCGGCAATGGATCGTCGCAATCGTGGACCTCGCTCTCCGTGACCGTCGGCGGCGACGGTGGTGGCAAATCGGGGCTGGGTACACGTTCGTTGAAAACGTTTCTCAGGTGTGGCTTTTTAGGCGGTCTCTCGGGCACCCAATCGTCTATCGATATTGCCGATCCGACTATGACAGGACCCAATAAATCCGTGGAGAGGCTACTGCAGCTGTTGCTATGTTGATGCTTAGGACTCGGTAAGTCGCCGTTTCCTTGATTTTGGGACCTGCCAACGTTTTCTCTCCACGCACCACTGGCGTAATCCGACGCTGAACTGGCTCTTCGGGATGAGGATAGTTTCGGTCGAGGGGGAGGCTGCGGCGGTGGACTTTGAGGACTCTGAGGTGCTGGCGCAGGTCCTTGCGCCAATTGAGGCTCCGATCGCCAAGACGCTTGTTGGTGTCTTTCGTAAAAGGATAACAACGCTTTCTTTTGGATTGCTTTCAGAGTAGGATCGGACACCCTGTGACGTTTCTCGGGATCCAAATAAGTGTAACGCATTTGTTGCTGTTGTTGCTTTTCCAATTCGTGGATACGTTCAGCTACTGAAAGCTGCGGTTGCGGCGGCGAATTTAAGGTCAATCTGAAAAAAATGTTGCATATAATATAATTTGTGAATTTGGGAATTATTACAAAAAAAGAATAATAATTGTAGAAAAAAATATATATATATACGTCAATGTACGTACCTCGAAGATTGCGTGGATTCTTGCGGCTGCGTCGTACTGACTGGGTAAAGTTTTCGTTTGCTGCGCTCGCGATCCAAGTACAGCACGCTTTCCGAATGATGCCGTTGAGGAGTCTGCACCCTAGCGCTGTGAGCGATCAGCTGCTTGCTGCACTGAATTCCGTTAGTTTGACTCACGTCGGACATGGATCCATGTATAGGATTCCAATTTTCGGAGCTCTGCGGACTCGCCGCTCCAACTTGCTGGCGCGTAGGACTTTGCGGCATAGACTGAGCGTACTTGTCGTTCTCGAGTCTGCTCGAGTTGTCCCACTGGTTCGCTTGTGATCTATCATTCAGCGAATCGTCGTCGAGATTGGATTCCTGCCACTTGCTGTCTCGAATCGCCGACGTTTGACAGATATCACTGATCGACGCGGACGTCGTGCAGTGACCGATCACCGCTGGTAAGCTGGGTCTACCCTGTCCCTGCTTATTTCGATCGTTCATCGAAGATTGCCATTTGTCAATGCTGTGCCTTCCTTTTGTCGGCGGGCCCATCCCGGACGTACTGACGTCGCTCATGGAACTCTGCCACTTCTCGTGACAGCCGTTGTTGGGTTTTTGAGTTAGAATCCCTCCGTTTACGCTGCTAACGTCTGACATGGATCCATGATGCCATCGATCCGATACCGTCTGGCGAGGAGGCATGCCACTCGACACGCTGACATCCGACATCGAGCCATGCCATTTTAAAGTCTCGCTGCTGGATGCGCTACCACTAGACGTAGTCACCACGCTGTCTCTACCCTCTCGGGACGTGTCTTCCCAAGATGCCGCGGGCCTTTGTGCCACCGCCTCGCTGTCTCTCCTCAATCTGATAAAAAGAGTAATCTCTCGTTACAAAGACATCGCGTGACGTTGGATATTAATAAGATGTGTAAAGATAATCTCACCTGTCGAGAAACGGTGTGTTCGTCGTAGAATCCACGCTGGAGACATAACTGTGGTATCCCTCGGATTGCGCGTAGCTGGCCTGTTGGGAATGCTGCACTCTCGTATATTCCTCAAGACCCGCTTGCGTCAAGGTGGTTTCGCGATAAAGGTCCACCTAAATGGATAAATTCGAAATCACAACAAGAAGAAATAATGTCCGCAGTTGTTAAGCACTGTATGTTTTTTTCGCATTGCATTCTCGGGATATTTATTCGGCTCGAAATATTATTCGACTGAATCCTCTTACCTGGGGCACCTGAGGATCCTGGTAGCCTCTTACATAAGCCTCCAGATCAACGTGACTCAAAGTCTGCGACTGCTGTTCCCGTTCCGGTGGTGATGGAACCACGTATTCCGCGTCTCCCAAAGCTTTACCTTCGCGATCCACGCGCGGCCACAATCTCGGCTCCTCTTCAACGCTACTTCTGTTGCGTGACTCGTAAGTCTCGGCTGGGATCTTCTCGCAACGCTCCATTACCGTCTTCAACTGCAATATTCAATTTTTGCAGTGTAATAGAAAATCACAAATGTACTTAGAAAGTAGCACTTGTGTATGTGTGTTTGTGCCAAAGTAATTTTTGTTTCGGCGAGTTTACACTCACAATGTGGGTAACGCTGAAAATGAGGTGATAATAAATGAAATACATTTTATATAAATTCACGCGATCGAAAAATCGAAAAATATTTGTGAATTAGAGATGCACATAAGCCTGTTATGCGTTATTAACGATCAGCTTTCAGCCGCGATATTCTATGACTCATGATTTTATGCGCTCTCGCATTTCCTCGAGAGGAATAGTAAAAAAAAATCTTGATCTTAAAATACATCAGCAGGGAGCTAATTGCGTGCGATTCTAAAATAGAAATTGTGCCGGTCTAATAAAACTTCATGGTCACCGTAAAACAGGGAGCTTAAACTAACTTTAGCATTCTTCTCTGTTTTTTTAGCCCACAGTCTTCTCCTCGCTTGATACCAACAACTGCTGGTATATACCGAAATTTACGGCGTGATGCGGGTCGGACCATCGAAATACCACGGCCTACTTCTGAGAAAGCCAGTAGCACGCCGGCGATTATGTCACCGAGAGAAAGGAGGGTGCGGGTGTGGGAGATTAATTGCGTATGCCGTTTTAGGGCGCAGCACAATATATACACCAAGGTCTTGCCCCGAGGTGATCCCGATTCTTAACACGGCATGCTCGCCCGGATAAAGTCCCCTTAATTGTTAAACACGTGGATGGTGTCGACGTGAAACTTTGTAATTCGTTTGAAAGCATGAGGAAAGTGTTCCGATAAGCTCCGTTGCCTCGTGACTTGTTTATACCGCCGAGGTACTTTGGTGTCATGTAAACGAGATTCGATTTTGCAACCGGCAAGACATTCGAGAACGACTGACACGGCGAATTCTGAGCTATAGCACGAAGGATTTCTGTAAAGGAATCGAGCTGATGCAAATCGCGTGAATGGCAGAAGTTAAAAGTACCTCATAAATGTAATTTAATCGCTAAGAGCTATAATAAGACCACTTTATTTCTATTTATTCATCCGTATTACACATTATTATTTGTTCCTGTTAATCGTCGCGACTAATCCTTGTAAAACTTATTCTCTTTATAGTGCGTAACAAACGGGGGTATTAACGTTTAATAGTAAAGCCTGCAAAAGTAACAGAAATTGAAATCGCGTGTGCTTGCGTGTGCGATATCTTTTATGTATCCAATTAATAGTAAATCACGGCATTACGTCGCTATGCAAATGCACGGTCAACGTTCAGGTAGTATAAGCGTTGCGGCGTAACGACCGTTTTGCGGAAAAACGGAGAGGGCTTTAACACAAGTTACCTGCTGCGTGAACGCGGGATTGGGCCTCTTCGTGTGTGGTCTGGTGTACTGGGCCGGCTTCTCCTTCGGATAGTTGGTGTGATCGGTCCAGGACTTGGAGCGGTGAGAACCGCTGTGCCCCGAGCTGTGGATATCCTCGTCGGAGTGTCGTTCGGGCGCGCTCGGCCACGAAGGATACTTCTCGTGTCCCGGGCCGTAACACACGCCCTTGAGGCTGGAGGCATCCCTAACTGGCGGCGTCGGTGGTGGCGAAGCTTCGTCTCTCTCATTAAGAGGGAGCGTGAAGCTGTTGAATCCGAGGTTCTCGCTGTACCTAATGGGACAGACGGGTATGGAAACGTCGCGGTTAAAGTGGCCGGTGCACGTTGCACGTCCGCGGCGAGATAGAGAGAGAGAGAGAGAGAGAGAGAGAAAGAGCCGGAGAGAAAGCAGAAATAGCACAGCGTGACGCAATGTCCTCCCTACGTGGAAACAATTACGCGCGGACGCAAAATCGTCTGTTTATTAGCGCCTCGCCCAATGAATCACTCGTAATACGGCGCACTCTCGACCGCGGTGCTTCTGCGCGCGATGTCATTGAACCGCTTTATTACCAGGATGTGCGGACTGCATAATTTATGGTACTGTCAACGAGTTCAGCGTAACTTGTACGGTAATCGGGGTATTTCCCCGATATTCCGCAGTTATTATTTTCTCGACAATATACCGTTCGCATCAGAAAAACTGAGACATATCCGTCTAGTTGAGTATATACACTGACATGCATTGAATAAATCTTGTGTGACGGAAGTCTTATCCTATTATCCTATATAAGTAATCTTATTATTACAGTACTTGAATTGAATTGCATTATGTATATCAATAATTTCATTTTATATACCGGATAATCATCGCTTGCGATAATTCACGTCGGGAGAAGATCGAGAGAGAGAGAGAGAGAGAGAGAGAGAGAAGAGCAGAAAGAAATAGAAAAAGAGCGTTGCGTGAGTAAAGTTGAGAAAAAAAAAGCGAGCGCGTAATCGCGAGCACGTACCCGCAGTCGTTCTTATAGCCCGGAGTATTCTTCTTGTGACTGTCGTTGTAACTGGTAACCGCGACGGCCTTCTTGCCGCCGTTGCCACCCTCGTGATCGTTCTCCGTGCTGGACCTCCGCCCGTCGTTTCTGCGACGGTAATATTCGTTAGGAGCCACCGACCGAGGCGGACTCTGCTTAAGGCCATAGCCTTCCTGAGAATACGACGTGGCACTCTTGAAATTGGCAGCCTCGCCCCCGTGGCCGTGGCTCGCATATTTGTAGGACCCCGGAGGACAGGAAGGTGGGCCTGGGGCCTCATCCTGGACGCGATATCCTGGCGGCGACGGTTGCAACTCCGTCATCGTGTAACCGACGTCCCCGCCATCCGGGATACACCTAAGTGAACAGAAAATTAAAATCGTGAGAGAAGAGCTTCGACGTCCCCTGAGATACAATCTCATGATTAGACGGTCGCATAGAGAGTAGATTAAGCGATTACGCTTAAGTATAACAGAATCGGGCGCAGGGTTTTCACATATTTATGAGGTAGCACGCGTGCATGCAAATTAAATGTTACGTGAACATTTTATCAATCGAACGATATAATCTCCTGTACTACTATACTAAATCATAATGCTGCGCGCGACAGGCCTCTTTCTTTTTGACTTCAAATATAGACGCGTCTAGAAAGAGCTTCGAAACAAAAGCATACAAAAATGATATCTTGTGCACAGAATGCAAATGTAATATAATTAACGTGCGGCAGACATATTTCTCTGCGGCTAATTGAGCTCATGGAAATTATACCGGTTTCAACCCTTGCTTTGAACTCGCTCGGAACTCGATGTGAATTTTTCGACATCATGTGAAACATCGTCGTGGATGTTTTCTAGCAGTGTAAACGATCGCGATTACATTAGCATAGGTGTACAACGAGCAGCGTCATACTAATCTCACTTTGTTCGCGCGGAGAAAATTACATTATCTGGTAGTAGGTGCGAGATTGTAGGGCTGGATGCTAGATGTATCGGTTACGAGATAAAATCCGAGGAAAACGTCTTACGACTGGTTATTTAACCTTTGGGCGAGTTTAGAGACACGTGTACGTGCAGTTAACTCTTGGGCGACAGAGGAGTAATGAGTCGCGTTAATAGAGGCACACTCAGCGGTGTGATTGATGAGACTGATAGATAACGCTATTTCCGAGTCAGGGGTCTCCGGAGCGCGTGAATGATGACAGCTTTTAACGAGAAACACGTATGCCAAAAAGTAAAATGGAAAACGATCGCATATCTCCAACGCGGAAGGTATTGCCGGGGCATACGTTCGTTTAACTTTTCACCGAGCAGGTTTTTATCCGTTCCGCGATTAATTTAAATCGTCGTGGATTAATCATAAATTACCCGCGGGAGAGCACTTTGGCTCATTTAAATTGTAAAACGTCTGTGAATATCTCTTCCCGGGACGATTGCGATAGCAATGTAAAAACAACTATGTAAAAACAACGTCTTTAATAGGCAGTTTTTAAATTAACGTTAAAAAGCATGGATGGTCAATATTGATAATCAAAATACTGAATGATTTTTTTCGCAAATAAATTAATGAGAGCACCGATCCGCGTCATCCGTCAGAAATAAGACAGTTACTCAAGCGAGGTTGTTGATCGAATCAGAACCTTTCGGAATCGAAAGACCATGAATTTACGTGTCGATATTTCCTTATACGATATATAATTAACTCCACTTTCAAGATGAATATTGACAACGTTATGTATCACGAAGATTCGATCCTCGTTGCTTTCGTCTCACGATCGAAACGTTTCCGCATCGTTTTTCCATAGCATCTTGCGTCACGAGACGCGGTACAAGAAGCGGAGGGAAAAAAGATACGAGCAGCGAGCAAGAAGACGGTCTTGCGAGGCCGAGAGCGCCGTTTCGCGAACGGTAAAATTTTTGCAATCTTACGTGCGGCGAAACGTCCTGGAATCGACTGCCCCCGAGGCACCCGGCGTCGTCGATTTTTACCCACGCGACCTACGAAGTTTCCGACTTCGCCCAGTGATGACTCCTAATTGCAAGAAGCCTCGACGGCACGCAACGCGTACCCAGAGCACGCACCGCGAACGATAGGACGCCCGCACACACCGGTACGTATATAGGAGATCGTAAAATACTCGAGCGATTTTGTAATAAGCGAAAGTACATTATGGTCTACGAATAATATCGACATTTCCTTAAATATCTGGCAGGTAGTTGTTAATAAGCGCTCGGGAAAATATCGAAATTACGATCGCTCTGAATACAATAGCGCGCGAGTAGCAGATTTATTAACTATGCCGCACCGGCCGTATACCCACAAATCAGGCAACAACGAACCGTAGACGGTTGTAATTCTTGCGCGTAATTCTGCAACTCGGTGCACGATCGTATCTCGAAATATCCCGTGGAACGCGATATTCGCCGTGTAATGCATTACGTCGCGTAACAGCCTGATTAGCGAAATCGATTTTCCCACTAATCAATTGGACGTGAAGCCACCATAATAGCCCGCGTATTAGGAATTCACGATTAGCGTGCGTTAAATTGGGTTCGTTACGGTGGGCGTGTCGGCGCGGTCGCGATTTTGCATAACGAGAAACAAGACGAAACAGACGCATAAGACGGAGTATAAAATGATTTTTAAGGCACTCTCGCGAGCACAATCGACACATAATGACGTGCGATGTGAGTATATCGCTATACTCCAACATTTTCTCAAATCGGAAAGTTCACGCGAGCACGTTGTTCTCGCACGAAGGCGAATAGTAGGCTAGTATGCCACGCATGATATACTGGATTTCATAACGAATGAATAGCGATATGTAGAGACTTCCGCGATAGGAAGACGCGCGATTCAATTACCGCTTCTTCGTCGGGGCAAGGAGTACCGCTTCCAATAACTATGCACGCCCACGTCGCCTATCTCCCTTTTTCTTTGCATCTCGTACGAGTTATCGGTTGCTGCCGATGCGCGACTCCCGCATTATTCTTTTCGTGCACGCAACACCAGCGCAGCGTATAATTTCCGACATCGACTGCCAACGGGAATACGCCGCGTGAGTGATCATTACTGCAAATTGCAACAATGTGGCGAAGGAACGAAGAATCGTCGATTTCGGTGATTTCGTAAATGCTTGCGGACCGAAGGGAGGGAGGAAAAAAAAGGTAGACCGAAGAGTGTAGACAAAAATCACACATGGAGCAAATTGCAAGGATCGTCACGGGACCGGACGTAGGTCTACTTCAATTCCTTCGAACCTTAACGCGGCGGGTGTACTGCACCGACGCTCGTTCACACGTGCGTTCATTCACTGACGCGCTTACGCGTTATACGCGCCTGCTTTCCGCGGTCGTGAGACGCATTCGCACGCGCGTCGTGCGTTTCGTAGAAGCGAACGGAACGGAGGTGGAGAACACCAGAGAGGAGCACAGAGAGAGAGAGAGAGAAAGAGAGAGACGATGGCGCAAGGCGCATGCCAACGCATGCCGCGCTCTCACGTTATGCGCGTATATAGAAGTCAGATAGAGAGGCGGGCGCAACCTCTTCTCGCGCGCGTATTAAAGCGTTACGGACCGCGTGCCCCTAAATCACGCCTCGTAAATTGCCGACCGTCCGACGGTGGTATCATCGCGGCGTCGAGTTTCGCCGTGATAAATTCGCTGGAATTCATTTCCCGCGAGCGCGCGAGTAAGGACTTGCCCGTTTACGGAGGAGGGAAGATTGTCACCTCGATGCTCCCTCTAATTTCCCCGCCGACGTGCGCGAGAGATAGCAAGAGTCTCACGCGCGACAATTACCAGCGAGGAGATCGTAAAGATAGTAATGTCGCTCTTCAAGATTAGCGATGGTCTAGGTTCGAATATATAGTGGGAACTCATCTCGGAATGCATTGCGAGATGTAATTCAATAACTACGTTACTACTCCAAGAAAGATCATCTGCAATTTTCATTACACATGTCGTCGCACATTAATTGGCATATACGTTATACATATCAACTTTCGATTCAATTAGTTCACTTGGTGAAATAATTTGTGGTCCGGACTATTAATGAATTTGAAACTACTTTGGCTCGAAACAGATAACTTTCTTATCTTAAACGTGTCTGATTTTCTCAACATGAACGATCGTGCTTTATCAGCCAGTTATCATGTTACTAGCGAGTAGATACATGTACGGGGGTATCTTGTTACCTAACTCGTAATATGTACTTTTATGCTCAGTAAAACCTAATGGCCGTACACTGTAATCCACAAAGAATATTATTTATTGTTTTCATGCCGAGGACGAGAGTGCGCGCACACGAAAGTACATTATGTTGCAATGGTCTGCTTTGCTGGTGTTTATTGCTTCTACGGTCTTGATGAGAAAAAAAAAGAACGAGTTGCAGAGAATTGCTAAAATAAAATAAAAACTGCGCTCTTCTGGTTTCAAGAATAGAAAGAGAAGGTATGCGAGTGGATTCGCAGTGGGAAAGCGTTGCGTCACGTAATTAATGCATGTTGAGTTCGTTGACTGGGTACCCGAATACACGGTAATTCCGGAGAGCGATTCGCTGTACGAGGAAGGCTCTTAGAAATCGAGTTGGACCTCGTCCAACGTGACTCAGAGATGTAAATTTGCAACGACGCACCCTGATGACGTGCTACCACGCAATATTGTCGTGAATCATTAATTAATAAAAAATACAAGTATGAAAACTCTGCCTCTTATTTTACACATGACATATATATATATATTATATATATATCTATATATATATATATATATATATATGTATATATACATATATATAATTTTTTGTTTGTTTCAAAACATTTAAATATTGTCAGGTTTTGACGATAGTCAGTACTATACAATCAGTATCGACCGGCGAAAATTATGCTTAATAAATACAGAATAGTTTTATTTTTCTGTTAGAATCTCTAAAAAGTTCAATAATTTAATTCATAAGAAATCGTTGATTCTACATCGTCTGATTTAGCGTAGAGAATTTTTAGTAAGAAACCGGCACAAGAGAATTCACGAGATGTCAGTAACGGAAGCTACGGCTGACAGCCGCTCGAGAGACAATGAAGGTCAGCGAAATCCGCGTAGGTCGCGTTCCTGATATCTGGTCTGGGGAAAGAAAAAGAAATTGATGGGGAATGCAGAAGAATCTTAACCGATCGTAGAATGCGGAGGAGACATACGACACTGTGCGTGGCTTATCGCCGAACCGTCGGGTTTTCTCTGGAGGCAGCTCGAAGCGGTAAATTCAATACGAGACTGGCCGGGCTGTGCGCACGCGAGCGGGCGAACGAGTGCGCGAGGCCGGCGTATGGAAGGTGGAAGACCGAAGGAAGTGAATAAAGGAAG